GCGCAAGAGCGCAGACGCGCACTAAGTACTGGAAACCCTACGTACAGCTCAACATCTACCAAAAGTTGTCGTGTAGAATAGTCAATTTGGACCGAATTCCGAACCTGCATTCTGACCTCTGGGTGCCGGTGCCCATCTGTACCGAGGATAACCAGCTCACCACCCACATACTTCTCAATGAGCTGCGGGTAGGCAGTCTCGGCGATTAGAACCGGGTTTTGGGGTGTGCTACGCTAGACCGATACTATAGGGAACCCTCGATACTAGAGTCTAATTATTCAGGTCCATATGAACGTTAGTTCGTTCTACCTGTCTCACAGATGAGTTCGGGTTTGGGTCTACGCTTTAGTCATCGGTCAGTAGAGGTCTTTGGAGATTGTAACCAGGCTGCTGCTGGCGTCTACTTGGACGTTCAATATAGGTCGGGCCATGAGCCTCATCAATGGGTCATAGCGATAGCTCCTTACTTACAGCCACACTCACTTAGAATTACCCGTGAACCTGCAAGTAGAGCCGGGGGTCTTAGGGTTTAGGTCTTGCAGCTCTTGAGGGCTTTCTTACAAGTCATGACCTTGGACAACCCAAGCCTGCTTATACAAGCACACACCAGGTAAACCATCAAACCCCAAAGCGCCTAAACACCAAACCTAAACCCTACAAGCCCTACCTCGGCACCCCTGTCAGTCATCAGTGCAGTAGCAAACAAACTCATATGGCAGGTTCAGGCCAAGAAGATTCCAAGCAATTGAGAACCTCAGACCCTCACCTAAACCGTAAATCACACAAGTCCTTTGTATGTCAGGGCATACTATAAGGGCTTTAAAAATTAGAATAGGGTTTTGGGGCCCACTATACTATAATTATAGTAAGGAATCCCCCAAATAGTATTGGTCATTATTTGGGCCCCTCTATTACGAGGTTCCGAACCGAATCTCGGTGGGCCTGCTACAAACTTCGCTCGTCCATAATGAGCACAAACTCCAAGATAGTTGGGCTCCTGTCTCGCCGGCTTCAGTCGCCAAGTCACCTGCGCGCGTTTCTTTTGGATATTGGCCTGACAAAAGCACACAGAATCAAGTCATCGGTCTCGTCTCCACACATCGGCAGTGTTCGAGACTCACCGTTCGAATCCCTGTAGTAGCCCCTGTATAATCCCCAGTACTAGTCCCTATCATCCACTCCCTCATTCCCTACTAAGAACCAGAAAATCATTGCGAAACCATCTTTAAACATCTTTAAAAACAGGCTAATAAGCCAATAGGCACCGAAGACAGCCTATATCAACTCGCTAGTTCTACCGCAGACGAGACAGACTAGAATACGGGAAGCATGCAAGCTTCAGTCCTCCCCCCCAAACCCTTCTCTTCCAAACGATCTCCCTGAAACCCGAAATCGTAGGCCCAGTTCGGGGTTATGCTTCGAGTTCAGGGTCTTAAGGCTGCGTATGACCAACTCCCCTGAACCCAAGCCCCGAAACCTTAAATAACCGCCCCCGCCCCCCCCCCCCCCCCTCCTACTACACCCTCAGCCCCGAAACCGAAAACTCTACCCACCCGACCCCCCCCCTCCGTACTAGGAGATCGGCCACGTTATCCGAAGCGATGACGGTCACGCCATCCCAGTCTCCCAGGCAGTCCGCTACGTGGCAGCTGGGTTTCGCCTTGCATTGGGAGCTCGGGGGTTTCAGGGTTTGAGCTTTATGTAAGGGATACCCAAATAGGGACCTTTCAGGGTTCCTTTAAGGGTTCTATAAGGGCTTAAGGAAAAAAGGGTCCGTGTCCTCAAAAAGTACATAAATTGGCCTTAAAGTAGTCCCTACATAGGTACTTGGGGCCCAAGTACATATTGTTTGGCTGCATGTCACCTTTTTTCCCTAAACCCTTATAGAACCCTCAAAGGAATCCTTAAAGGAACCCTTAAAGGAACCTGGTCGGAGTTCCCGAAAAGGTTCTGCAACCCGTAGGCTCTAAGGATTCATTTTTTAGGGCTTTTGGACCCTAAACCCTAAACCCTAAACCCTGGCCTTAGGGTAGGGGCTTCTCAGAGGGGACTGCAAGGGCTCCGTGGGGCTTTGGGGTTTAGGACGCTTAGCATTCAGGTTTTACCTGTGGGCCCCATGGTACCTATGCATACTTATGTGTGTGAGTATACCTATATATATATATATATGTATACGTTTTTTCTCAGTGTTTATATACATATCTATAAATATATATATATATATATATACACATATAGATTATGGACCCTGAAAGGGCAAGAAGCTGATTAGACAGGTTACAACATTGCACCGTAAACGGTCAAGGGTTTACGGCTTAGGGTTTAGAGCTAAGGGCTCAGCCCTAAATCCTGTAGTAGAAAACCCCAGAGCACCGAACTGGCCCAATCGATTCGGGGTCTAGGTAAACCCGGCTCAAGGGGCTTGGGCTAGTAAGGTTCCTTAAAGGGCTTCTTAACGGGATCTATAGGGTTCCTTAGAGGGATCCATAGGGTTTAGGGTCTACTTGGGAGGATCACGGGACTTAGGAAGTAACCCCGGCCATCCAAAGTCAGCAAATGCTGACATCATTTGGGGCTGACGTAAGAAACTGTGGTCATGCCTTCAATATAGGCCTGCGTAGCCCAAATCTGACTACATACTTATAGGGGCTTTGCATGGGTTGAATCCTGTAATGTGGAAACATAACTTCCGGCTCATCTAGTGCAGCCACACGGCAGAATGTCCCATATTAGCAATCCGAATTTCCAACCATAGTCCGATAATCGGGGATGTTCGAGGATGTTAGGGTGCAGAACGAGGAATGAATTTAGCGTTGGAGTGTTAACAGACGAGGAAGCGATCACACCAATCTTTTTCCGATCATCGCTTCGGGGCGGCACCGAGCCGTAGGAGGTAACGACTGAGCAATCGGAATTCCATCAGCGATCCTGAGAAGTCTTCAAAGAAGAATAATCTCCCCAAGAATTGCCAATTTGGGCTCTGTGCTAAGGAATCAAACAATGCTGAAATGCGAACTGAGCAACCCTGTGTGCCGTTGCACAGTTTTTTCCATCGCCCGATATTGTCCTCATCTTCAAAGCAGTGATACCCCCTCGGGTTTTCACCCCGATAAAGGGATTCCTCGAGCAAGTGAGTGTAGACCTGCCAAATTTCCAAAACGATCGGGGCTTCCAAAGAAAATGGATTCCCAAATCTGATGACGTCATTATGCACTATGCAGCCAAACGACATGAAATTTTGGCAAAAGTTTCCATCGCATTACCGAAGCTGTCACAGCAAACTGAGCCAGTGCTCGGGCCAATCGTTGAAAAGAGTAACCTGTATTTGCAATCAGCTGCCCCTGCTCTTGGCTGACGAATCGCTTTGGCGACGTTTCAATGAGGTGGAACCATCTCAAGAGGCAATCCGTGCTCAAACTTGCAAGTTTGATCTCTCTGTCGCCAGGCTTTCTCGAAAGCATGTCCCTCAAGCATCCCCCAAGGTAAATCAGAAATATCTTTGCAGAATGCGCTTTGAGAGTCAAACACGGCCAGGGACCACACTCTCCATAAAGCATTCCAGCCGTCAGAAAAGGCACTGAGTGCCTGAAGAGTATGCTCGCAGCTGCTTAGTAATTATCATCATATTACGGAATCCCACAGAGTTGTTGATAAATATAGAAACTACAATTTCAAGAATTCCCAAGAATCTCCACACGTTGGGCCGACGCCCAAGCTCGAAAAGCACCAGAAGCCGCCAGGAGACCACTTGAAAGATCTGTGTGATCGCCCCAGTAGCCTCATGATGGTTCCATCCCAAATAAACAAGGTGAAGTGGACACTGATCCAATTAACGAAAATTCTTAGAACCGATCACGAACTTAGATATTGTTCCAAGAAAAGCAACAGTGTTGTAGAAGCATCGCCACTATGCTGCCGCTGTGAACTGACACCACCCCCAGGTGGACCACATGCATCGCGCAGAACTTAAACTGCAATGCTGGATTGAAACCTATCAGGCAGCACAGAGGACTGACCTCGTCTGGCATGATTGCCGCCACGATGTTTGCAGATGACCTTCTCTCAAAACGCCGGGTAAGGTCTGCACTCCACCTGAAAGGATTCGACTCTCGATGAATGTAGCTTTATTATTTCAACCACGAAAAATCAAAAGAATCGGGAGTAGCTCCGTCATTTCGTAAATCCGAGGTGCGATAAAGGGCCGGAGTTCGTAGCGAAGCAACAGTGACACATTTCGTGAACCCGCCAATGCCAGAAGGCCTTGAGTTGGAATACTTCTTTGAGCCATTTCCAATCGCCCCTAAACTCCATCACCAAAGCCTTGGGACCTGCACCAGACAAGACAGGATGTATATGCGGTCAGACAGACAGACAGCCAGACAGCCAGACTGACTACCCCTATAAGGTTTGAGTAGGGTTCAGGGTAGGTTGTAGTGATTCCAGTTATTGCTTTTTTATCGGTTTTGGCAGCGCTCGACTTCTAAGTCTTCTGCCCAGCCTCGGCTTACTAGTTTCTGCTTGATCCGTACATGTATATGTACATGTGTTTCATACATACACACACACACACACACTCACAGCTACGACTTCGAGGAAGGCAGCTACACTTCAGAATTTACGTACATGCATAGGTACACAGCGGAGACATCAGTTAGATCAGAGTTATAACCCCATTTAACCCCATTATAACCCCGGCATAACCATGTTATATCGAGTTATAACTCCGGCTAACTTTATAAAGTTAGCCGGGAGTTATAACATAGTTAGCGACACGCTCCAAAAAGTTAAAGTGGAGTTAGGGGGAGTTATTTTTTTTTGTGTTTAGGAAGGTAAAAAAGTTAGCCGGTGTTAAGATCGATCGAAATCCGCATCGTTTTAGCTTCCTGGATTACCGTAAGTTGTGCGGAATGTAACATGTTTTGCATGGTTTTAGCAGGGTTTATGTAAATGTAGGAATCCGTGGCATTTTTTGGCTCCCAAGCTGTAAAGTTGTGGCCGCAATGGCGGCCGTTGTGAAGCAACTTCTGGCTTCACAAAACTTTTTGAAGCAGGTTCGACACCTGCAGAACTTCGAGCAGCTACAGCAGAAGCAGCACGTGGTCCTGAAGTCTTTACTGGCGAAGACAGCCACCCTGTCGGCGGACGAGGCGTGCCGCATCTACGATGCACAAGACCGGAACGTGTGGACGGATGCACAAGTGCAGGAGGTGCAGGCAGCGGTCGCGGCGATCCCCTCCAGCGAGGCGTGCATGAAGAAGGGGCAGCTGCAGGACTTTGCGGCATTTGTGCCGTTCTTGAAGAGGAGCCAGTGGCAGGAGCTAGAGGGATGTCGCATGCAAGACCAGGTGAGCGTGAAAGTGTTGAGGTACTTAGCTGAGCTTGGCCTGCGACATCCGACGGAGCCTACTCTGGGCAATGTGCTGATCTTCAGCATCCTGATGCTGGAGATGCCGCTGCCGGATGCCGAGACGTTCCAGACGGAATTTGAAAGTTTCAAGCCGGCAGCTCGGCGCTTGCTTACTGCTCACGGCAACCCGCTGTTTCACTTGCAGATGCTGCCCGAGACTGCGGCTGCGTTGCCGGTTCAAGTGGCCCAGGCTGTGTATGTCACGGAGGGCCCGGCGAGAGGTAAGGTGAGCATGGAGCAGCTCGGTTTCGCTGCTTCCAAGTTACCGCTTCGGAAGAGCAGTGCACAGCTGAAGAAGCAGCCGGAAAACGCAGGGCAGCTCCTGGGCGCCCTCGTGCAAGGACTGTCGAGTAGCTTGAGTAGCGGGTCGGGGCGGCCACCGGCTTTGCCTGTTGCACAACCGCCCAGAGCGAAGCAGCCGCTGGCAATCCTGGACCGTGAGCCCCTGGCAATCCTGGATCGCGACAGCGAGGCCCCGCCGGCCGTGGAAGCGAAGGTTGCGGAGGAGAAGACCAACGAAGCCCAGGCTTTGGAGGAGCCGGCGGCCGTGGAAACGGCGGAAAGTCACCTCGAGCGGCTTCAGAAAGCTCTGTATGGCGACGAGCCCCAAGCTTCGCGAGGGAAGAAGCGAAAGGCTGAGGCAGAGCCGATGAAGAGACCTGCCGCAGCGAAGCAGCTCCAGAAAGCTCTGCGAGACGACGAGCCAGAAGCTTCGGGAGGGAAGAATCCAGAAGCTGAGGAGGAGCCAGAGCCAATGAAGAGACCTGCCGCAGCGAAGCAGCTCCAGAAAGCTTTGCAAGGCGACGAGCCAGCAGCTTCGGGAGGGAAGAATCCAGAAGCCGAGGAGGAGCCAGAGCCGATGAAGAGACCTGCCGCAGCGAAGCAGCTCCAGAAAGCTTTGCAAGGCGACGAGCCAGAAGCTTCGGGAGGGAAGAATCCAGAAGCTGAGAAAGAGCCAAAGCCGATGAAGAGACCTGCAGCGAAGCAGCCTTCGCCGGCCTTGAAAAGACCTGCTGCGGCCGCGAAGCCACCCGCCGCTCCGTCTGGCAGGGCAGCTGTGCCGGGCATGACCTGGGAGGATCGCATAAGCGCCCGTCCGTCCGGGTGTGCCAAGTGTCGTTACCTGCCAGGATGTACGCCCTCGTGTTTCCGCTGAGTCATCCGAAAAAAATCGCTCGCAGATATCCTTGCATGCAAGAACAGTCGAGACCCTGCAGAGCTGCAAGCTAGAAGCTTCTAAGCCCTACTCCCTGTAGAGACCCTGCTGCACCCCTCAACTGCCGCATCCGCAGCCGTCTGGCTCCGCTTTAGGTGGGCTGGGGGCTTGCCCTGCAACGGGCGAAGGCCCGTCCCGCCTTTTTCCTTGTAATTGTAAATATATTAAAAGATAAATAAATACATAAATAAATAAATAAATAAAAAAAAAAATATATATATATATATATATATATATGAGACCAACAGCTGGCCACGGCCGCGGTGGTCCGCAGGAGCCTGCAGGGGCAGGCTTCGGCCGCCTATGCTGCATCCAGCTCTGCGAGCAGGCTACGGCCGCTGCAGTAGAGCTGGCTTGCAGAAGCTCCTCGCAGCATGCCTGGCTACGGCCGGCACTATAGCCTCCTGCAGCGAGCTGGCTACGGCCGCCCCTGCAGGCAGGCTCCTGCAGCGAGCTGGCTACGGCCGCTGCTGCAGGCTGCGACTTGCAGTGGGCTGGCTACGGCCGCCGCTGCAGGCTGCGACGTGCAGTGGGCTGGCTACGGCCGCCGCTGCAGGCTGCGACGTGCAGTGGGCTGGCTACGGCCGCCGCTGCAGGCTGCGGCATGCAGTGGGCTGGCTACGGCCGCCGCTGCAGGCTGCGACGTGCAGTGGGCTGGCTACGGCCGCCGCTGCAAAATCTAAATAATTAAATAATATATATATATATATATATATTATATATATATATATATATATACATATTAACAACCCGCCAAACCCTAGACTCCCCCTAAACCCTTCCTTTGCCTTGCTCGCAGGTGCCCATGGGCGACGACGAGGAGAAAGAAAAGAAAAAAGAAGAGGAGGAGAAGGCGGCTAAGGCCGCCGAAGCCGAGACCTCCTCCGAGGAGGAGGAGGAGGACGAAGAAGAGGAGGAGGAGGAAAAAAAAGAGGAGGTGGAGAAAAAAAAAGAGGCGGCGGAGCGGCCTCGAGCCCCGAGGATACCGGGGCCCTCACAGGTGAGCCGCTGCTCGAGAACCCGCTCTCGCGGCCGGGAGAAGCGGGCGGAAGAGAAAAAAAAAGAAAAGAAGGAAAAGGAAAAAAAAGAAAAAAAAGAAAAAGAGCGGAGCCGCCGCTCCCGCCGAGACCGCAGCCGCAGCGAGCGGAGCCGCGGCAGAGTACGGCTGTGCCGCCGCTCTCCGGAGCCGGCGAGGCCACGTAGCCCCGAAGAAGGGCCGAGTGCTTTAGCACTCGCACGGGCGAGGAGGCGGGAGGCGGAGCTGAAGGCTCAGCTGCACGAGCAGCTTCAGAGGGCCTCGCCAAAGAGCTCGCCGGCAGCAGCCGCCCGGGACACGACGAGGGCCTCGCAAAAGAGCTCGCCGGCAGGAGCCCCCCGGGACACGACGGACGCCTCGGAGGCTACAGCGAAGGGCAACCGGGGACGAGGGCGGCGAAACAATGCAGCGAGGACCTACCGCTGCAATCGCTGCCACCAGTACCTGGTGCCGACGGTGGCAGGCTACAGGTCCCATCGTCGCAGCGCCCTGTGCTTGGCCTGGCGAAGATGGGAACTGGGGGCGAGACCCTGGGACACTTGCGTGTCCCGGGGCCAGGCCGACTACGAGGCCTGGTGCAACGGGCACTTCCCCTTCGAGGACTCCGACTGCCCGCCGGACTTGGATGCAGACGGCGGCCAATGCAGCACCGGCTTCCTCCGTGGCTTCGAGTCCCAGCGGAAAGCCGCCTGCGAACCGCGGCAGCATCTGGACGGCGCCTCCTCCGCTGCCGGCAGCCTTGCAGAAGCCGGCCTCGAAGCCGAAGCCTGCTCACGTGCAGCCGCCGCCGAGGCCCGTGCAGCAGCAGGAGAAGAAGCCGGCGGCGGCGAAGAAGCTGCGGCGAGGGAGCAGCTCCGACAGTCGCCGCCGGCGACGTAGAAAGCGATCGAAGGCCCGGTCGCAGTCTCCGGTCAAAGACCGGGACAAGGACCCACGGGATCCGGGCGGTGGCGGCGGCGGTGGCGACGGCCCAGGCGGCGGGCCGAGTGCTGCTGCTGCACTGTTTCGGATGGTGTGGCAAGACACCATGAAGCAGCTGCTGCAGCAGCAGTGATCGTGCCACGGCATGCATCCATCCGCTGCCACGGCAGCTGCATGGCGGCAGTGAGGGGGGAGCACGGAAGCCAGTAGCCCTCAGGCAAAACCCCACCAAAGCCTCAGAAGCACAAACCAGCTCCACAAAACCCTAAAGCCTCAAGCACAGCACAGCACAGCTCCTCCCTCCCTTAAGCCAACGAGCCCTTTTGCGACTCGCCGTCCGCTCCAGAAAAAAAAATCCGACTGCCTGGCTTTTAGGGGTTTAGGGTTTAGGGTCTATAGGTTTAGGGCTTCGGGGTTGAGGCTTGTTGGGTTTTCCTTCTAGGGTTTGTGCAGGGTTTCGGGTTGGAAGGGTAGGGTTTGTGCAGGGCTTCTGTAGTAGGGTGTACAGGGATGCCGAACCCTAAACCCCTAACTCCCTAACCATAGATATAGACCGGTTTATAATAATAACCCTAAACCTGGGGGCCTCTATATCGTAAATTATGCAATCCTCTAGAACCGTATGCAGCCCTATAGAAACCTTGCACCTCTCCTATCGGCCCCAAAGCCCTCAACCCTAAACCGAAAACCTGAAGAGGAGACGTTGCGAAACTTGCCCTGCATATGGCCGCAGCTGCTGGCTCCCTTTTTTGTGTTGGGGCCTGCCGCAGAATGGCGGACTTCTCGCGGAGCGAGCTGTGCGAGCTGCGGAAGCGGCTCATGGAGCCCTGCGATGGCGAGGTGCCTCTGCCGCCGCCGGAGGAGTGGATAGACCACGAGCTGGAGCTGGTGCGTGAGACACTGTATTTCATCATGCAGTTCCGCTCGGTTGGCAATCGGGACGTGCTCGCCAAGTGCATCGGGGTGCTGGCGTGCCTGCGGTCGATGTGGGAGCAGCTGTTCGACGGCTGCCGAAACAAGAACCGCATGTGGAGCGGCTACTCTTTCGTGCCGCGAGATCCCGAGACCGACCTGGAGTCGTGGCTGCGGCAGGTGCCAGCCTTGCAGCTGCGGGATCGAGTGCGAGAGCTTCGCTTGTGCCTAGGCATCCTGCCGCACTACTTCGGCCGCAGACTGGGCACGGAATGGGACCAGAACTTCTCCACGGCGAGTCTTGAGGCCGCCAATGTGCTGCAGAGACTGCAAGAGCAGCCTGCTTTAAAGGAGCTGCGAGCCGAAGTCTTGCATGAAATGGACTAGCAGCTGCTGCTTTCGGTCCGGGCCCAGGTAGTGGTGCAGACGGGTGCGACTGTGAGCACCGAGCGGGTCAAGCCGGCCCCTAAAAGAGTCCGACAAAAGCTTCCGGACCAGTGAGAGACTACAGAAGTCAAACAGCTCTGAGCGGCTCCTGCCGAGTCCTAAAAGACTCCGAGAAAGGCTTCCGGACCAGTGAAAGACTAGCGAAGTCAAAATGAAGTCGGAGCCCCTGCAGGCAGGCTTAAGAACCTCCCGACTTCAGTTGAAGTCGGCACCTCCCGGATGCCTTCCTGTAGAGAAGTCCTGGTGAAGTTTGTAACCCCTCATAGGGACTGTGCAGCCAGGATCCCTGGCAGGGCCCTGACTTCAATTGAAGTCGGGACCTCCGGAACCCTAAACTGTAGCGAAGTCGAATCGAAGTCAGAATGAAGTCGAGCCCTGCCCTGAACCCTGGAATCCGGCATAGGGGTCTAAATTCGGGAGAGTAGGCTTTTCAGGGTTTGAGGGTTCCGCAGACTCGCAGAAAGCCTCCTGCTTTGCTGCAGCTTCTGGCTCGAGAGCCTTCGTGCAAGTTCGCCTCCAAGCCCTTCTAACCCCGCCTGCCTGACATGGCGCTCGAGACTCAACCGACCCAGCTTGTGGCTGCCCCTTCCCAGGAAGCACCGGCAGCCGAGACGGAGGAGCTGCAGTCGCAGCAGTCTCGTGCCGGAGCAAACCTGGAAGAGCCCACCAAAGAGGTCCAGACCTGCAAAGAGTGCAAGCAGGAGTACGCTGTCGAGGAGGACGACAAGCAGGTCTGCAAGCACTGCAGAAACCTGAAGCTGCGGCTGTGGCGCCGGCTCGGTGCCTGGTCGACCTTCAACTCCCTCAGCGACACCGAAAGGGAGCGGTTCTTTGTGAAGACGCAGGGCACGTCCTGCTGGCGGACAATCCAGTCTCAGCTCGTCGAAACCTTGACTCGCCAGCGAGTCTCGGAGACTCGCAGCGAGACGGGCGGCTCCTACCTTCCTGCCTCGGTGCTGCTGACTCAAGGGTACACACAGGACGTGATCGACGCCTGCAGCGACACGGAGGAGAACCCCGCCTTGGGCGGCACGACGTACCGCCTGAAGGTCCACTCCGAGTACTGTGTCGAGACCGAGAAGACCGTCCGCGAGGAGCTCTTGAACCGGGTGAAGCAGGTGTGTGCTGGCAAGCAGGTGCCCAAGGAGTGGGACGTGCAGCGGCCGGAAAAGCCGGGCAAGAACGAGAAGCCGGACCGTACGGAGGAGAAGGAAGACAAGCAGAAGGCCAAGTTCCGGAAGGTCGCTCTGGCCCTGGCCAAGTCGGCCCTGCCTCAAGTGAGTGCTGCCTGGTGCAGCCTGCAGACGGCGGTGTCGGGGGCGGGCCTGCCGGCAGACCTGGAGGAGGCAAAGAAGGGCGAGTTGCTCGGGATGCTGCGGAAGCTCGGGGAGTGGAAGAACGCCTGTGAGCACACCCTGGCGAACAAAGAGAACTTGCAGGACCTGCCGGTGCTGCCCTTCCGCAAGGACGAGGTGAAGCCCACCTGCAAGGCTGCAGCGGAGCAGCTGAAGGACGTGAAGCTTTGCAGGGCCGCGGCCGCCAAGCTGAAGCGGGAGAGCAAGGCTGCTGAGAAGGCCAAGCAGGCCGCGGCGCCGGCAGGCGAGCCGAAGGCAAAGCGCCCCCGCACGGCCGCGAAGAAGGGTGCGTGAGCGAGCCAGAAGCCGTACAGTATTAATTATGTGCATGTATCTGCAGCCTTGAGCTGCCCGGCTGCTTCTGCATCCGGATATAATATTTATAAGAATGAACAACAACAGCGAGAGCTTTTGAGTCTGTAGTTTTTTAGAGTATTTTTTGCACCGGCGACCATGCAGGTGTGTGTATGTATATAGATATGGAAGCATGCATGCAGCAGAGAATGGTTCTTGAAAGTGTTGCTTGCAGACAGTGACTGCAGGGGTCGCCGGTAAACCGCACAGCTGCATGCTCGTTCTCCTTCGGGAGGGCCATACAAGATAATTCGGTGTTGCTGACACTCGATCGCTCCGCCACTCCTGCGTTTAGAAAAAATCCCTGTTGCTATAGTCGCAGTGCTGCCTTGCCCGCCCTGAAAGCTTTCGCAAAATCCTCAACCACGCTGCTGTTTTGCTCAAGCCGTGCTCTCCTCCGCCTGTAGTGGGGGGACAGCATGCCAAAGCGACGGAAGAAGGAGCCGGAGCCGGTCACTCGCTTGGACGAGCGGGGAGTCCACGTCTTCAAAGGTCCCGGACAGCAGGTGGAAAGCTTCCGAGACCTGCGCAGCGCCTTCCATGCCGGGAAGCCGCTGCCTGCTGAGGCGGCCGCAGAAGCAGGGGCGGGGAGCAGCAGCAGCTTAACTGCAGGCGCTCCTGCGGTCGAACAGGTGCTGGCAGAAGACCGGCCTCTTGCAGAAGCCACGGAAGAGGCCCCGGCTCGGACACCCTCTGCAAACCGCAAGCGGCCGCACACGGACACCGCTCTTGACTTCCTGGCGCCGTGCACCGAGACTCTCCGAACCCTGGTCGGAGCCGGGTCCTTTTCGGCAGCGGATCGGCAGGAAGCCGAGGAGCTGCTCGCTGCCGCGAGTGCAATCATGTCGGCGGAGCTCGTCGACGGCAAGGAGAAGCAGGATTGGCCGGAAATCTTGCGATTGCACACTGCCGCGACCGACTTGATGGCTCGGCTGCAGGACAAGCATCAGACGGCCGAGGCCACACAGCGGACGCCGCAGAGCCTGATAGGCAGCCCCTGGCCGGCGACCAGTCCGCCCAGTCGTCTTCTTTCGGCGGATCTTTTTGCCTCGCCGCAGACCCTGCCTCCGACGCCTCTGCCGAAGCAGGAGAAGAAAAGAAGGACTCTGAGCCCCGACAAAGAGTAGATGCATGTTTTATACATGCAGATCTCTGAAATGTGTCGTGAGTTTTGCAGGGGTCTTTATAGGGCCCGGTGCTGCTGCTGCGAAAGACGCGGGTCTCGCTGAGGAGCTCTCACATCCGCTGTGAGTATGCCGGTATGGAAAACAAAGAGCTCCAGCACGTTTCCATGTACATGCAAGGACTTCTGTGCCGAATCCGTCTTTCTCGTTCCGCACGTGGACATTTGCCGCGAGGCTCAGAGCAATAGGCCGTGCACGACGGAGTCCAGCCTCACAGTCCTGCCGTGCAACACCCTAAACCTTGCAAGTCCTAAACAGAAAAACCACAGGCCATCCACGAAGGAGTCAAGCCTCATAGTCCTGCCCTGCAGCACCCTAAACCTTGCAAGTCCTAAAGAAAAACCACAGGCCAGCCAGCCTCACAGTCCTGCCGTGCAGCACCCTAAACCTTGCAAGTCCTAAAAGAAAAGCCGCAGACCATCCACGAAGGAAGCCAGACTCACAGTCCTGCCGTGCAGCACCCTAAACCTGGCAACTCCTAAACAGGCAGACACAGACCTCGTAGTGAAACAGTTGTAGCAGCTTCTTAGGCCTCCTGGCCATGTCGGGTCCCACGAAAAGAAAAGCAGGAGTCCTTGACCTGCCCACGGCACGAGAGCAGCTCAAAGACTTGCCAAGCCTTACGCCAAGGCTGCTGCAGCAGGTGCTCGCCCGACTGACGGGTTCGGAGGGGAGCAGAAAGCAAGCCGTGCTTCTGAAGGCCGAGCGGCAGCTGTTGTCCTTGCTTCCCCTTCCACTTGCAGGCGAGAAAAGGTCCGTGCAGCTCCCTGTTGTCCAGCTTGACCGGCTGGTGCAGGAGAAGTGCCGAGCTTGTCCTTCTTTTGGAGACCTCCTGAGTGAGGCCGTGCTGCAGGCGGGAACTGCGGGCATGAATGCGGTTCTCTACGTGGACGAAGCAGTGCCGGGGAACGTCCTCAGACCGGACAACCTGCGGCGGTCCTACTTAGTCTACGTGACTTGGATGGACCTGCAGCGAGCTTGCACGTCCGAGTTCGCCTGGTGCACGGTCGCCTGCATCCGGCAGAGTCTCCTCAACCAGGTTCAGGGAGGCCTGCCGGCGGTCATAGCTGCGATCCTGGACATGCTGCAAAGCAGTGTGTTCGAGGGTTTCGCTGTGGAGGGGTCTTTAGGCCCGGTGCTGCTGCGAACGACACGGGTCTCGCTGCTGGCGGACGAGCCGGCACTCACATCCGCTGTGAGTGCGAAATCGCATGCCGGTATGAGGCCGTGTTTAAGGTGCCGCAATGCTATCGCTATCAAGCATGGCGAAAGAGCAGACTTCGTGGATATATCATGTCACGACTTCAATGCCTTTCTGCCACAAACGAAGCAGCAGGTTAGCGAATACATGCGGCTCCTCTCCGGCATCAGGGTGAAATCCAAGCTTGAGGAGTCCCAAAAACTTTTGGGTTGGATATATAACCCCGACAGCATCGTTTGCCGAGACTCCTGTCTGCTGACGGTGGAAGGCTGTCTTTTCGATGCGATGCACTGCCTCTGGTGCAATGGCATCGTAGGACAAGAGGTCAGCCTCTTCCTCCGTGCTGCGAAAGACAGCATCGGCTTAAAGCAGCATCAGGTTGCTGCTTTGGGAGATCTGCCTTGGAAGCCAGGTGTTGGCGGCCGCTCCAAGGCAGGGCCCCTTCTCGATGCCAAGCTGTTGACCTTCGACTCAGACTACAGAGGGGATTCGAGCCAGACCATGTCGCTGCTGCCCCTCCTGACGTATTTCGCCAGGATGGTTTTGCTGGAAAAGGGAGTGCCTGTTGCGGCAGTGGAAAGCCTTAGCCGGCTATGCCTGATTTGCAATCTCGTGAAGCTTTGCAAATTGGAGGCTCGGCCCGAGCTTTGCTCCAAACTTCTGGAGCTGCAGCAGCAGCACCTGCAGGGCTTCAAAAAGTACTACGGGCAAGACCAGGTCCGGCCCAAGCACCACTACAGCCTTCACTTGGGCGAACAAACTAAATCAATGCGAAGGATGCTGGACTGTTTTGTTTGTGAAAGGAAAAACAAAACCTTCAAAGAGCAAGCTCGCAACCACAGCAACTTCGAAGGCACGACCTTCGAAAGCTCGGTGCTGTTGCGCCTCCTCAAGGTGGATACCCAAGCTTCCGTCGGGTATGGCCTCTCGCCAAGGCTCGCTCCACCGATCCGGACAGATCCACTGCTGCAGCAGCACCTGGACTGCTCAGACCTGCGCTGCAGCTCTGCAGTGCTCTGCACGTGGATGCTTTTGTCCAGCGAGGCCAAAGCGACTTTCTGGCTCTGGCTAGAACCTTGTCCAGAACGGATGCGGCCGTCGCTCCGCTGGATTGCACCTACAGCAAGTGGAGGTTCAATGCCTCGGCCCCTGTGCTGGCCTACCTCAGTGACGTTTGCAACGTTTCTCGGCCTTGTTGGAGTCTCGCCGAAGGTGAGTTCGTGACCCTTCTGCACTGAGACTGCAAAAAAGATGCCCGCAGAGTTTTTAGGGTTTAGGGTTTCAGGCTTCATCTTCAGGAATTTGGGAGGGTTTTGCTTCGATTATCTTAAATGTCGCTATTATTCAGTTGTTTTGCTCACCTTCACCCACTTTACGTAAGTCACTAAATCAAGCCAATTCAAGCTGCACCATCCTTTTTGCTTAAACAGCCCTAAAAAAGTTACACCATAGTTAAACCGAGTTAGCCCGTAACTATGTTATAACCCCGATCTAACTGATGTCTCCGCTGTGTAGTTACAACGAGGTGATGTAACGAAGCTATGATGTGATATGTGCCATGCCTCTGCTGGCAACCGACCCTGGAGCGGCCTCTGATGGGTGAGCCTGGCTTGCAAGCCACTTTCCCCAGAATAGCACCATCCACGTTGTGCGTCGGGTTGATTCCATAATATAGAATCTGGAGCGGGTGATGTTGTATGGGGCTTGATCATGAGATTATCGACTACAAGTTGCAATCCATTTAGTATTGCAATTAAAGCTTTTGGGCGAGGGGCATTCAAAGACCATGCAATCACCCTCATAATAGGGTCGAGGCTTGCAGCCCCCAAAGATATGTGTTCTCGCAATGAAAAGATCGCCCAGCGCTTCATCTGCCCTCCTTGGGGTTGTTTCGGGGGTTTAAAATTTAATTAGGGTCTAGATCTGGTCATGAGGGCTTTAATAATCGTTTGAAGGGCTTATTGGGTTTACTTTCTGCAAGTTCTGGATTGATGGATCGCATAGGAACCTGCATGACATCATCATAGCCACGGTGCGACGGGGAACAGACAATAGGGAGTTCATGGTCACCAGAATAATTTTGTCACCACTACGACTGTAGCGACCGTCGTCGCCATGCAAACCGATGGGAAGGCAATGATCATCAGTGTTCGAAACCAGACCACGGGCCCTGTAGTGCTCCCAGTACTCGGCCCGCTCCGCAAGCGGGACTTGCAGAAGCCCGATATCCTAATCAACGCCACAAAACACACGGTGGATGCAATAGGCTGCAACTCATATGCCGACTTAACACTGCATCGAAACCAGCTCTTGCTGAGGAGTGTCATGCCAGTATTGGTAGATTTCATGCGGCATGAGAAACGGGCACTGAAAGGTGGTGATCGTCTTGCGGTCTCGCCAGTCTTTGACGGGGATGCTCAGATAGTGCATGTCCTCAAGATCATGAGGCTTTGGATGTTCATGATGCACAAAGCAACATATTGAAACACAGGCACCTAATTATCGACTATCGATACATGCGGACAGAGTACCAGTGGGAAATTCAGGGCTCGAGAAATGTCTCGCGCCACATTGCCGGGCCACTTTCCGTGCGACCCCGCTGCGGCAATACGTTTCGTTAATCCAGAACCACGTCCGCCGCTCTCGCGAAGCATAGCTGATGCAGCTTGCTGCAAGTCAGCTGCCGAATTGGCCTGGGATGTACAACATATTGTTAATGAGCTTCATTCCATCGATCGCAACATTCGTGACAGGAGAGGCTTAGCGATTCAAGGGATGTTAGGGTTTGGGGGTGTATATATATATATACATAGTGAGTGTTCAAGTTTGAGTTCTTTGATGAGGAATCGTGACCCCACCAATCCGAAGCCTCTTTCAATTCTAGATGCAATGCAATTGCAAGGTGTCCCGATGACGGTAGCTGCTGCCTCGACCAAATATAGAGGCATCTGTGGGCCAGGGTTTTGCGGTTCGAAGTTAATTGTCAATATAGTATTTAGACGAAATCCTGAAATCATATGTAGTTATCGTGATCAGATGTACAATACTTGCAACCTTCACACACATGAACCCCAGCACCCAAAAACCTTGATGGCATTCCCACATTCCCAAATCTCAAATTCCCCGGAGTGAGTACCCCCAAACTCCATAATTATCACACTTAGTGGGATATATGGGCCACCATGTAGAGTTGATACTGAGCTTCCGATAAGGTTGCTTCACTTCTAGCGAGTATGTTCAGGGATACAGGAACCTGTATTAAAACCTCGGAGGATACTGCGAAATTGCTCAGACAGCCCACAAGTTAATTAGTATGAAGCCAAGAAGCACCCTCACCCAGGGTTTGGAGCAAGTAGTCTGCAAAGCAGCGCTCTTCATCTGCGAGGGGCAGACAAATATAGACTATGGTTAGCTTAAATTTAAATTGGATAAATATATGATGCAAGCGGGCACAGTCTTTCCGATCCGGGCTGGGACATCACAGAACTCCGGACACACTTCGTTCTTAAAGGACACATGTTCGCACGTGTCATTGTTGAAGCCAGGCCGCCCCAGACAGCACTAGTGTAGCTAGACTCAGCTTTAATCTTACAGGAGAGAACACATGGAGGAATCCTCGGCAGTCCAAGGGCCTATGCCCAGTAATCAACATCCCTACAGATACTCTAGCAGAGTACGCAATCATTTGCCTTTCAGGCAGTAGCAGCAGCCTTTGCCTTTGCCTTTCCTTTCGTTTTTTCTTTCGGCTCCTTCTTGTTGATGTGCATCCTCACGTGCCTTGAACCCGACTTGTAATTGGAGTTGCTTTCTGTAAGACTCAGGACATACTCCTCCAGCCCGATGCCCTCCGTCCCAGATGCCATCTGATCCTAGCGAGGATGAACAAGAACACCTATAATGTTTCACTGGTTCTTACAGGAGATAGTGTGAAGTCCTGCAACTTCCCCAGGTGGCGAGTGATGATCAGCTGGTGCTTCTCCATCGATGCCACGAGCGCCGCGGTCAGATCATCGTCCCTCATGGCCAGCATTATGGACCCCGATTTCAGAGAATGTAACCTATATTATCCTTCAAAGCTTTACACCATGAATACATAGCAGTGCCAACGAATTTAGGGATCGTACTATATTTAATTTGGATTCCGAGGGCATCATTCAAAATACAAATGCATGGTTCCATGCAACATCTACATACCTGCCTATAATTGTGCATAGTGTACATACATGTACGGTATGATATGTGCATCAGGCGTTGTTAACTCATACTTCTACATTGTTCAGGTCGAGACGAGCATTTCTCTTTCCATCTGTGTTAAAACATTTGAGCTCCTTTTCGTAGGAATGTTGAGGGTTTGGGGTCGAAGGTTATCGGATTCTGGCTTCGAAGATTTTCGGGGTTTAGGGGTTTAGGGTTTAGGGTTATGTAAGGGGTTTAGGGTTTAGAGGTTAGAGATTTAGGGGTTAGAGATTTAGGGGTTAGAGATTTAGGGGTTTAGGGATTTAAGGTTTTTGGTGGTTCCAACACCCACATGTGCAGCATGTAACTGATTATGCAAAACCAGGTTCACTATAATTAACTAACGATATCCATGCCACTGGGTTCATCGGTTTAGCTTATTAATTCCCTGCTATGGCAGATCGGGGTTGGGGGTCGAGGCAAATATATAGAATCGTGCTTGCAGGAGCCGGGCCCGTACTGGAACTTATAATAAATTCTAGCAACAAATTAAAAGACCTGGGTTAGCCATGCAGCTAGCCATATGCCTGCATTGAATTATGGGAAAGCCGGTCTGAATTGAGTTCCCAATCGAGAAGCAAACAAGAAGACTTCCCTGCAACTCTTATTGCAACAACTTCTATTCTAAACTAAGGAGGAAGCTGCCCATTTCGTCCGAGCAACTCGCTGGCTTATCAGATCGATCTAGCAGGTATAACATATATACGTAGCTAGGGTTCGGGGTTTAAGGATTAATATATATATATATATATATATACGTATTCATATACATATGTAGCTTATACTTGGAGGCCCTTTTGACTTAGTAAGTATAGGGTTAGTAAGGTAAGTTATGGGGATTATAATAGGGTTTCTAGGGGATACTAAGTAGACTTACTAAGTCAAAAGGGCCTCCAAGTATGGAGTGTAGGCTTTGTTGTCGGGGGCTGAACTCGCGATTGGATATGCAATATTTAGCAGCACAGCCAGGAACCCTAAATAAATGCTGCCTGGGCTCACTCCGGCCTTTGCCAATTTGGATGGGAAGCTTTTTATCTCGAAAAGGTTCTGGTTGGCCAAAGCACAGGCCGATTTAGCAAGTTGATCCGTGCTCTTGCTCTTGACTTCGTGCTCATCCTGACCCTTCTTTTTCCCTTTTCCCTTGTTCTTCCCCTTTCCATTGGGGTTGGGGTTCTCATTGCTGCTGCGGGCACCATTACCATCCGGCACATCTGACCAAGAAGCAGTTTCACCCTCTCTTTCATAAGAGAGACTCGTCTCACGGGTGGACTTCTGCGTCTCAGTAAACTCCTTCCATCGGCGATAGAGCCTCATAGCCTGGTCATGGAGGGTAATTAGTGGGCTCTGAAAAGACTCAACGAATATAGGAATAGTTAAAAGTGCTAGCCTCATTCCGAGGGAAATCCGGATGCTTGCGGATGTTGGTGTCTGGGTCCAACTCCTGCCGGCGTTTTTTGCAGTAGCTTCAGACGAGAACCGCGCTAGCTATGGACATCGAATCATCTAGCTATGCCGCCAGATTTAGATTTCCAGTGATTTGAGCTTGGGTTCAGGGATTTCAATGGCATATCATGGATCCAGATTTGAGGACAATATGACACCCCCTTATCTAACCGAGCATATTATAAGGTCCTTCTCGGCAATGAACTCCTTGACCAGCTCTTCGTTTTTCCAGAGGTCCATGAGGCCCTGCATTATTTCTATACTTGGTCATCACCAGTAAGAACACTACCACACTCTTTTATTACTACACTAGCTATATATAGGCGTATGTAAACATATATATATATATATATATGTATATACTACGACGACTACTACTACTACTACTACTACTACGACGACGACTACTACTACACCAACAACAACAACCACTACTACGACGACGATTGCTACTACTACGATTAAGTAATTTTGTACAAGTAGTACTAGTTGTAGTAGAAGTAGTAGTTGTAGTAGTAGTAGTAGTAGTAGTAGTAGTAGTAGTAGAAGTAATAGTAGTAGTAGTAGTAGTAGTAGTAGTAGTAGTAGTAGTAGTAGTAGTAGTAGTAGTAGTAGTAGTAGTAGTAGTAGTAGTAGTACTAGTACTAGTACTAGTGCTAGTACTAGTACTAGTACTAGTAGTAGTAGTAGAAGTAGAAGTAGAAGTAGAAGTAGAAGTAGTGCTACTACTACTACTACTACTACGACTACCAACACGACACCTACCACCACCACGACTACTACTACTACTGCTACTACTACTACTGCTACTACTACTACTACTACTCCTGACTAAAATGATACTGCTACTACTACTACTACTACTACTACTACTACTACTACTACTAGTACCTACTACTACTACTACTACTACTACTACTACTACTACTACTACTGCTACTGCTACTCATACCTAAAATGGCACTGCGACTACTATTAGTACTACCTACTACTACGACTACTATTATAATGCTATACTAGTACTACTGTACTACTATTACTTCTACTACTACTACTGCTACTACTACAACAACAACAACAACAACAACTACTACTACTACTACTACTACTACTACTACGGCGCTACTACTTCTGCTACTACGAGAACTACAGCTACAACTACAGGAATTACAACAACAACTACTACTACTACCACTACCACTACTACAGCTATATTGTTATAATATACATACAGTATTATAATGCATATTACACACACACACACACACACATACAAGGTTATATTACATGCAAGGCTCCTGGCGGGTGTCCCAAACCCATTGGCCAGTCTCCTCATTGGAGCTCGTGAACTTCTCGATCGCGATCACCCGGCTGGATCCCCAATCTTCCCCAGACATAATGAACTCTTTGAAGAGCTCGTTGATACGCTTTGTATCTCAGCGAATATATATGTAATTTGGGATTCTAATTAGAGCACATCTACAACCATACAATTTTTCTCGGATTATATACACACACACATCAATGACGCAGCCGAGGATCCCTTCGGGCCTTTGCCGGCGTGTGCTTTCTTCCACTCCGAAAGCAGCTTGGGCGGGCAAGCAGGACCTAGGCTTGTACTGCTGGAATTGCAATGAATTAAATAGCATAGCTACGGTTTCTATAGGGGCCTGAAAGAATAACGATTCCGACTACAACGTCTAGTGTGGACACCAAGCTGCTCTGAAAAGTTCGGTTGAACCGCATGTAGTTGGGCTTGTAGAAGTCATCCTGTTGGTCGAATGCTTTTGAAGCTAACTATCCATGTCTGCGACGAGAACCGATTGAGAGAACCCCATACCACAATATCTGAAACATTCCTGGCCTTGAGCTGCTTCTCGATCTCATCCAGCCTGGCCTCATACCCTGCTTTGTCGGTGGCGCTGACAGAGCTTGCATCGGAAGCTGGTACCGGGGCAACGGTCGTTGTAGCTGCTACCGGGTCTGCGGTGGTTGCAATCATTTCTTGATCAGGCTTCTCTTGAGGATGGGGCATGGCAAGCTTCTCAGGGGGGCTTGCTCTGGGCATCTTGTTTTTGAGGGCCTGCTCCAAAGCATTGATTGCAGAGATACCCCCTGTCTGCTCTGGCACTTCGGACCCCCCCTTGGCAATCTCAATCGCTGCCGCTAGCAACTCCATGTCCACAGTTCCAGGTCTCAGAAGGGCTTGATGTACTGAGCTAGGAACCTTCGGGCTAGGGTCAGCCAGATCGACACTGCGCATCTCCACATCGGCATCGGCACTGGGCGGCGGGACACTCGCTTGGATCTTTTCTAGGCCACTCGCATCGGCACTGGGCGGCGGGACACTCGCTTGGATCTTTTCTGGGCCACTCGCATCGGCACTGGGCGGTGGGACACTCGCTTGGATCTTTTCCGGGCCACTCGCATCGGCACTGGGCGGCGGGACACTCGCTTGGATCTTTTCCAGGCCACTCGGATCGGCACCGGGCGGCAGGACACTCCCTTGGATCTTTTCCGGGCCACTCGGATCGCTGGGCGGTGGGACACTCGCTTGGATCTTTTCCGGGCCACTCGGATCGGCACTGGGTGGCGGGACACTCGCTTGCATCTCTTGTGGCTTCATCTCTTCATCCTTCATGGGTCAAGATTACCATAGATGGCTCAGTAAATATATACATATATATTTATATCCTGGATAACACAACTCCCCTAGTCCCCTATCAAGATCCCTGAGGTGCGGCCTTTAAAACTTTAAATACAAGTATACCTAAATTAGCTACTTTCTTGTAATTTGTGTTCGCACACTGCCTGCTCCACTTGCAAGCTCAAAGCACTTAGATCCTTTGTAATCTGCGTCGAAAGCTCCATGAGGTCGTCATCCACCTCCATCTGCGTTTGGTCGCAGAGCTGGTTGTGGATCGCACGGGCCTCGCGATCGTGTCTTGGTCACTACGGATCCGATTGTATGTGGGGTTCAATCGAAGCTACACTTTAAATGTCAAGTGGTTTTTCGTTCGTACATAAACAAGTAGGCTCCTCTCTAGGTTGATGGGGTCCTGGAACCTTATTATAAGGATTAGAGTTTGTGGGCAAAGTAGACTCTGTCTCTAAAAATATATTATAACACATATAATATATATTCATACGGAGAATTATAAATTATAATACCTATATATTACTAGTCATTTGGGGTCATAATGATCCTAGTGTCATTATCGGGTACTAGTTTCGGGGTCTTTGTTCGGAAACTTACATAACAAGCTTATTGGGATTTCGAGTACGGACAGGGTAGAGGGAGTGTTTTAATCTGTAAAAGACCCACATAGCTTTCGAGACCCGGCTTTTGCATATAATGCTTGACAAACAAATCCCATTAATTGTTAAACACCCTATATAGCTTGTAATCTATAACCCATAAGCCAGACACCAACCCTCCGGATCCGGTCTAAACATGAGATGATGCGGATCATTCAGAAAAACCTCGGTTTGGATTCCGAAACCTGTGAATGTTGCAGCTAGAGAGCCTTTCGAACATCACCCGGGGTCTGGAATTCAGTGGTTTCTGAATCCAGGGAGTTGGCACTTGACGACCGCGCCACATCTCCAAGGTCATCGTCGGATCCTTTGTATTGCGGGCAATTTTGCAAACGGTGGGTTTGCGATGATATGATTGCATGATCAAATGATGCCCTGATGCTCATATGTGCTACTAAAAGACCTTGGAAGGAGAGCTTGGTCGGTGTCGGGGCGACCTTTTTCATGGCCTTTGGGTCCGGGGTCTTAGTAGATGGAGTGGACGCAATGGTTGAGGGCGTCCGGGAAGCACGACTGCGCTTGCTGTCATCTTCCTCAATCGTCTTCGGCCCTGCATTGCAGGCGGACATTGCCTTAACAAGGTCCTTCCGGCGTTTCGCTTGCTCCATCGCCTGCTTCGCCACCTCCAACATTGCAAAAACAGCAAGAAACTAGGCCAAGACTGTGGCATGATGGTTTGATGTCTGCCTTCTGCAAAGCAAGATCGTTCGAAGACATGGCAGCGAGGGTGCTCAGGCCAAGGTCAAAGGATCACTCGGAAAAGCTGCACCACAGGGAAAAATCACGATTGCCAAAGCCACGCAAAACCACGCGGAAGTCACGCGGCCATTCTGGTGGATCCTATTAACTTTATAAGGGAGAGCTAAAAATCACGATGGCCAAAACCACGCAGAATCACGCTGCAATCACGGTCGGCTTGGGGCCTTTGGGTGCCCTTTACCGACCTGTTGCACAATCGATTTGGGGCACAGCATATCGTTCCAAGCAATGCCGGATGCTCGCACACCGCTTTTCTTAGGCCCACCTTGCATATAATGCGGCTTCAAGCAACTCGCCCCAGCCCTGGATGAAACAACTTGGGGTCAAACCGGCCAAAAGCCTGCTCCTGTTTTAGGAAGCTTTCCATCTCAGCAAGCTTCGCATACTGCCACAGAACCTAGGAATGTCATAGACAGCCGAAGGACATGCCAAATCCTCCAAATGTATAGCCGAGGCACATCCTCCTGGTAATTCTGCTGAGCAGCCTCCGGGACGACGTCCAGATGCGGGCGAGCCTTTTGGGTCGCAGCTATTTCAACTGCTGAAATCTAGGATTTGTAGTCCCAGGACTCATAGTCGTGGATAGTGGTCGTAGTAGTAGTAGTAGAAGTAGTAGTAGTAGTAGTAGTAGTAGTAGTAGTAGTAGTAGTAGCGTAGTAGTAGTAGTAGTAGTAGTAGTAGTAGTAGTATAGTAGTAGTATAGTAGCAGTAGCAGTAGCCGTAGTAGTTCATACATAGTATATATATATATATATATAGATCAGAATATATAGCATTATACTATATGCGATATAGCATTTTTCGTATGTATGCTAGTAATATATATATATATATATATATATATATCTAGATATGGTAGTATTATAATATATATAGTAGTATATAGTGGTAAAGTAGTAACGTAGTGTAGTAATACTAGTCGCAGTCGTAGTCGCTGTAGCAGTATAGTAGCTAGTACCTAGTGGTATATATACAGTCCCAATCCTCAATACCCTCAGCCACATTATGATCAAGGTGGAGGTGCATAGTGATATATAACTATAGTTCAAGCTGGCTAATATAGTACTTGAGGATTTCGGTTTGACAAGGCTGCTGTATTGTCGGGTTAAGCACATCCCATAGTGAAGCAAGCAATCTGCCTGGCTTCTGATGAGTTGAGGTTTTGGGGGTCAGTCAGCACAGAACTGGTCAGGATCTATATAGGCTACGGTTACCCGTTTAAACCCGCCATGCTATATAACTTAAAACCCCCCGCTAAACCACGTCGCCGACCTCGGCATCTGCACCACTGCGCTCTGGAGCCTTGGACAATCAGTGGCTTTGAGCCTCTCCAGGTTTTTATATTACAATAAATATGTGTGTGTAGATGTATTATAGTACAGGTTTAATGCCCACCTATATGAGAATCTCCTCAGCTAAGGGGTGCTCCTTCAGGGCCTGTACATGGAACTTGGTTTTACAAGGACTGTTTTGAGGAGTGTGAACACCTGGTGTATGTGGCTTCAGCTTCAGGGGTATTAAGAATTTTCGGCAAGGTTCCACGACTGCTCAGAAAGTTTCAAGGATGTACTGGCTTTCGGATGCTTGGCATTTCTTGAATAATCGTTATTTGCTTCGGACCTTCTGCTGGGGCTGCACTATCTGATCTGCAACTATGAGGACTTCAACACTAGCCAAGTGCTTGCAGGAAGTTGAATACACTTATGTTTCTGCTTATTATAAATGGACCTATACCTGCTACTGATGGTCTTGTGGTGAGGAACTACATCCGACTCTATCCGGTATGTTACTTCATTCCGATATATGGCCCAGTAACCCCTCCAAATCGCTACAATGCCCCTGATATCTACTTATGTACTGTATATGACCAGAACGTATAGCACCCTCAGTCCAATATGGAGCCGATCCGTTCTATTGGCGAGACACCGGTGAGTCCCGCACCAACACCTGTTGTCCAGCGATAAGCTTGGCAAACTCCCGAGGGTACTGGCCCGACAGCTTCAGCTTGCTCTTCTTGCCAGTCCTCGAGCATCTGATCTACAGATACCCCATGCATATACAAATATTGATCACTGGCGAAGTAGAAGCATAGCTTGCACTTCGCACGTAGTTGTAGCAGCAGCATTAGGTACGTATACTGAGTTAGTTTACATAGTACATAGCCGAAGAGTAGTATAATAGAAGTAGTGGTAGCTAGACTAGTCGTCGTAGTCGTAGTTACGTGGTAGCAGTAGTAGTAGTAGTAGTAGCAGTAGTAGTTATAACAGTAGTAGTAGTAGTAGTAGTAGTAGCAGCAGTAGTAGTAGTAGTAGCAGCAGTGGTAGTAGTAGTAGTAGTAGTAGTAGTAGTAGTAGTAGTAGTAGTAGTAGTAGTAGTAGTAGTATGTAGTGGTGGTAGTACCGTATTAGTAGCAGTAGTAGTAGTAGTAGTAGTGGCCGTGGCAGTGGTGTTGTAGTCGTACTAGCTACTACCACAACCACTACTACTACTACTACTACTACTACTACTACTACTACTACTACTACTACTACTACTACTAGTACTACCACTACCACTACCACTACTACTACTACTACTACTACTACTACTACTACTACTACTACTACTACTACTACTACTACTACTATACTACTACTACTACTACTACTACTACTACTACTACTACTACTACTACTACTATTATAGTAATAATAGTACTCCTGCTGCTACCACTAGTACTGCTACTATTGCTACTCTGCTACTACTGCTACCATTGCTACTGCGAGTAGTAGTAGTAGTCGTAGTAGTAGTAGTAGTATTAGTACTGCTACTACTACTACTACTACTACTACCACTGCTACCACTGCTACCACTGCTGCTACTGCTGCTACTACTGCTAGTGCTAATATTAGTGTGATTCCTACTACTATAACTACTACTACTACTACTACTACTACTACTACTACTACTACTACTACTACTGCTACTACTACTACTACTACTACTGCTACGACTGCTACGACGACGACGTACTACAACCTCAACTACCACTACACGTCACGTCCCTTCCCACCCAGACTCCAGAAAAATATAAAGCCCTCGCCACAATCATTGCATACAACAAATAATAATTTAAGCCCTGCAACCAAGGTTCACAGCGACCTTGTTGCCTTTCTTGCGATGCACTGCCAGCCCCGAGTTTCTTCGAGTCAACTGGTGCAGCATTTGCTTCGACATTTTCGAACAGTCAATCGCTGAGAGATAATTCCTTGGGTCGAGGATACAAGAACACGTGTAATACATATCAGGATCTAATTTGACGAGATTCGCGGTCCCGAACAACAGGGTGCGCTTCGGTGCAAAGTGTCCGTACTTTGCCATCCAACTTAGATGTGCAACACATGACAGTCACTATATTATTATACTGACATGAGTCATGAGGCTCAAACGTTGCAACAGATCTGACCGTATAAGGCAGGGACAATCTCTTCACCGTTGCTACATAATTTGTGATGTTCATCACGTGCATCATGGGGGTGAACTCAATGATCTTCGAGCTTGAGGGCTGTTCAACCTGCATCTGGTATGGTTTGTGTTTATTCAGAAGCAGAGGGCTTCGACCACACCTCTAAAGTACATTGCTGCCTAGTTACCAAGTAGGTGCAGTCCAGGGCCAAAGCGACAAGTATCAATATGCAGGTTCTGGAAGCTATTGTGTTTGCATTCAAGACTGACTGCTGAGATATATCGCCGTCCGGATGGAGATGCCGCTGCGTTCTGCTGCGACTCAGCCACACCCACCTTAGTTCACAAGTGTTTGGGTTCAGGGTTTCTAGGCTTCCTTTACATAACGGTTGAGGGTATCTATGGTATTA